TTGCCGCGAAGCCCTTTTTCAGATTTAAAGGGGCCCTGCAACACTTACTGAGCATGGTCAGAAAACGCTGCCAATCGGTAGTCGAGGCTACCGAGAACACGCGAGGCAAGTATTACAGTGCAGCACGCGGCCTGAAATTCACAATAAATTTTTCAAAGCTAAAAATTGCTCTCTTCCTTCGGCAAATGACACTACAAGCTCAAAAATCACTTGTCAAAGCCAAGAAAGAAAATACGACTCTGGTCGCAGTCGTTGGCTGATTTGAGCATGGCGCGCTCGTCGTTATCGGACCACCGCGTGAGGCCGCCACTTGTCCACAAGTACGTGCAGGATCGCACGCAAGGGCCCCGTATTCGAACAAAAGAGAGGGAAAAAATGCTCAAGGTCACTAGGCGTTCATGATGTTTTTTTTTGTTTTTTTTCGTGCCATCCTTTCCTACTTAGCTTCCAGCTCTTTTGACGGGTCGAGAATGGATTGCAGCATGCGACAAAGTTTTGGAAGTCCGCTCGTACTGGACAGATTCTAGAAACTTTGCGGCGGTAAATTTGTGAGGCGACAAGTATGTTTACTGGCTCCATGGATACTTGAAAAAGTGTTGCAGGGCCCCTTTAAAGGAACATGTTACCCTCAAATCAATCCTTCATTTTTAAGCTTGCTATGAAGGTTTATATGATTTAAGTATAAAAAGGTTTAAAACGTTATGTATCTTACAAGTTATTACTCGGATCCTACCGAAACTACTAATCAAGGTTGTTTCGACTTCCTTTCAATGAAAAAAAGGCCATAGAGTCCCCATTTAAATTCAAAAGAAATATCGTGCAGGTTAGTTGGGTTATGATAAATATTCCATTTTTTTATATGTCATACATACTATTCAAATTTCGATTCGAAATTATTCGACCAAAATCACTATTCGCTTCAAATTCGCTTCGACCCTGAAATTCACCATTCGCAGAAGCCTAGATTTCACCTATTCCCTCTGCAAGTGGAGGGTCGAGCTCCTCAGAGCGTTTCTTGAACATTGCAATGGGGAATCCAAGCAGCAAACGTGGCAAAAATGTTCTTTTTATATACTAATAGGCTGAATATTTCAGAAGCATTTCACAACAATGCACAACACCAAATAAAAAAAACTGAAACAAAAAAATGTTCCGCCTGCCCCGGGTGAGGATCGAACTCACGACCTTCAGATTATGAGACTGACGCGCTGCCTACTGCGCTACCGAGGCGGATGTATGAATTGTGCAAATATCTCTATATGAATCATATTTTAGCGCATTCAGCAAGTGTATACATTTTTGCGAAACATTGTAATTTTTTATGGTTTACCGCTTACCCTTGAGGTAAAGGTAGGTCATAATGCAAGCGTGGCAGGAGCTTTAATTGAGCGCTAAACGTATCCACCGCTTTCGCGACTTCTGGTGTACTATAAAACCTTGCGACTACGAATTCATTGCTGCGAGTTACAGCTGTAGTTTGCTTCTCTTCGGTGTCCATCAACTTCACTGACCAATAGATCTACGATATCTGCAACTTGCGTGCGCACCAAACATCATTTTCCAAGATGGCATAGTGGGTTTTGATTCCTATGGCCCATTTACGCCGTTATGCGTGCATACATACAAGTTAGCGTTATTGCTAAGATCGTAGAGAATTAAGTTGCGGGGATGACAGCTTAAGTAGAGTGAAGCTCAATTTATTCCACAAACTGTCCTTGTGCGAATAATGCATGAATACATGTTCATTCGTTCGGATTTCTTTTCATAGTAATGGTCCTTATTTTGTGGCTTTTCTAACCTCCCATACTAATAAATTAGATTCAGTGCGAGTAAACATGTTGGAAGACGACGACGCGTGTCGTGTCGTTCAACTTTGCGGGACGTCATCGACTGTCGCACGATGCAGCGGAGAGGGCTTCGCGCTGCTTCGTAGGGCTTTATTCGTTTTGTTAATCTTCGCATGATTATTACCCTCTCTCTACTCACCTACGAGCATTAGTCCTCTGTTACACCCCTCATGCCACTCATTCATTCACAAAACTTTATTTTGTCCTGAAGCCCGGTCTTTTCAGACCGAGGCGGGCCGGGTCCACGTCGGTACCTTCAGGCCGAGCCTTGTGGCGTCATCGTGGACCTTCTGGACTGCCCCTAGTAGGTCTTGATAGGACGCGCTTTGCACCATCGTCTCCCAGTAAAGCCATGTTCTTCGGGGTCGGTGAGAGTCGCGGGGACAGCCCGCCAGCATGTGTCTGATCCTAATGATGCCATCGCACGCGTCACACTTGTCTTGAATTTCACTGTCAGGGAGAATTTTATGTAGAAAATACGGAGTTGGGTAAGTTCCGGTTTGCAGTAAACGTAGCGTGACTGCCCGAGCCCTGTTCAATTTTGCGTGTGGCAGTGGTAATTGCCTACGCTCCAAGTAATAATATTTTGTGATGTCGTTGTAAGTGATTAAATTATCCTTATAGCCCCCGGAATGGTAGTGGGCGTCGGATTGGGTTTGACCGGCACAGCAAGCGAGTCCTCGTGCCAGGTCATTCGTCACCTCATTGAGGTTGACCCGAGTTTCGTCCACTTGTCCCATATGAGCAGGAAACCATCGAATTTCAGTATCGATAGGATTGACTTTGTTCATAAGTTTAACCACAGTCCCAGCGACATAGTCCTTGTCGAAGCTCGTAATTCCTGCTTTGGAGTCGCTATAGACATATGACCATTTTCTGTTACTGATAGCTAAAGCAATCGTGGCTTGTTCCGCAACCGTGGAATCCTTAGTCCTGTACATTTCCCTGGCTGTCGACCACTACAGCTGTGTAGGCCTCTTGGCCTTTCGCCCAGGCTGCGTCCACAACGGCCGCCTGTTGTCCTACCTGTTCGATTTCTTTCAATAAAGCTTTCGCTCTCTCTTTTCGCCTGTTGACATTGTGTTCCGGATGCATGTTTCTCGGCAGGGGAGTGGTTCTGATCACGTCTCTAAGCTTCGCGTTCAGTTCGACCTCGACCTCCTTTGGGTTCTTCGATCTATTGGAGACTGACCCGATTGTCCTGAGTATCAGCCTACCCGCACGTGTCCTCGTCTTTCCTGCTGCACCGTCTGTTGCGCTTCAGCCATTTCTTGCATAGTATTGTGCACGCCTAAGCTCACGAGTTTCTCGTTCGACACACTGTTGGGTATAACTAGGGCATCCTTGACTAACTTTCTGATAATGGTGTTGAGCTTGTTCAGCTCGGCCTGCGACCATTGGAGGAGACATGCCACGTAAGTGAAGTGACAGAGGGCGAAGGCGTGCAGTAGCCTTAAAGTGCTGTCCTCACCAGGGCCCCTGTGTCGGTTGGCGATTCTCTTTAGAAGCCCGAGTACTTGGTCAGTTTTTTAGGAAATATGCTGAATGACAGTGAGGTTGCTACCTCCCGCTTCTATGTAGAAGCCTAGAACTTTAATTTTTTTTTACCTGCCTCATCGCGGATCCATCCTGACAGCGAAAGATAATCTTGGGTTCGTCGCCTGGGGCCTTGGGTCTTCGACCCCTACCTCTATTTTTTATAACCAAAAGTTGACTTCGCCGCCGAACAATTTAGCCCCATTTCGCCGAGTGCTTTCCACGATGTCTACACTCTCCTGAAGTCTAGTCTCCGCTTGGCGCTCTATATGATTATATCATCGGCATAGATTGCGAAGTGTATACCTTCTCTCCCCTCTGATTATTTACCTACATCTCCCCATTCTCTCCCATCTATCCTCACCTGAGAGACAGTTACTGTGTCGCTTAAAAGCATACAGACTCTATATTTACTTTCAAGAATCTCTTCACCCTCCCAGCTAGGGCTGCAGAAGTATCCATTCCTCTGCTCAACCTCCTCTTTGTTAATAGTGTTGTCAACTTACACTGCTAAATCCAGCACCTTTGTTTGTTAATCTACAGTTAAATCCAGTGCTTGTTAAGTTCTGAAAAGTAATGGGGCTTTGTTCTGAAAAATAAGATGTGCACTATGATCCTTTGAGGCACCTTCCTACCTGCCAATCAAATGACTGCCGCCCTGCATCTCCTCCAGAGGCACCACAATATTCAGCAGCTGCAATTGAACCATCATTAATGATCATAAGAATGTTTCAGCACGATTGCCCTAAACTGTAATTTGGTAGCAACACAGTCAAGCGTAGCCAGTTTGCTTAGGCAGCTTGTAGCGCACACTAGCTCGTTGGTCTAAACTTGGCAAGCACGTATTGCACAATTTAACACTCAATACATCCCAAAAAACGATTTAGCAGGATTGTCTTCGTGTGCATTTTTATTGCACATTTTTTAATAATCATTCATTCTACAAATAAATTTGTAATAGTATACCACATAAAAAGTTAAATTTTGTATGATTGCACTGCAAATAGAATTAGCACTGCAGCCACCTTGGCAAACCCAGAGTAGCTGATAATTGCATCTTGAGCTATTTCTGAGCATTAAGCACAGTAACAAATCTGCATTTGACTGCTACTGGGCAATGGGTGTAACGAACCCTCTTCAAATTTCACAAAAGCTGGCAGTTTTACGTCACGAAACCACAATACGATTACGAGAGACGTCATAGTTCAGGGTCCTGAAAGTTTTGAAGTTTACTTGTTCGTTTACATGCACCAAAATCTATGTACATGGGCATTAGCATTTTGCCTCAATCAAAACACGGCGGCTGGCGCAATGCGAAGCCTCCCGTTTGCGTTGTGCATGTGTTCATCACTCGTCTCTTGTAGGCTCCGTAGTGATGAACGCCAACGCTACGCCTGCAAGCTTTGCATACACTATTGGAAAACTCCCAACCACAAGGCCGGCCTACAAATATAACAGCTTTACTTGTTGCCTAAATGGATCTCAAACTCTAATACATGTAGGTTTTGTCAAATGTAAGCACTTCGATGTGTGCCTGAAAAATGGGGTGTCAAAGAGCTGTCTTTTCCAGCAAGACGTTCAACTCTGTGGACCAGGCTGAAGATATGTACACCGAAGGCCAATGCACAACACATTTTAATTTCAACAGAAACTGTACATATTATACACTAGCTTTCAGACATGCACAACCAGCCCTCTGTATGCACAAGGCAAGCAATACAAGCAAGAAAAAAAAAACTTTATTTGCAGACTCTGAATCTGTTCACCCATGGGAAAGAAATAACACTACATACATTAGTTGGTATGTAAATATGCCCATGTAAAAAATGACGACCCAAAAACATGACTGAAAGCTTTCCCGTAAAGCTTACTGGAATGACATTAAATGAACCTGAACAAAGAGCCCAACTTGACATGACAAACTTTTGGAAATTCAGTCCAGGCAGAACCTACCTGTACAACAAACTTCACATGCAGTCTATTCGAAAGAGCAGTGCCAAACGTAGCACCCACAACAGCACTCAGCAGCTACCAATGATGCCACTTGTAGAAAAAAAACATGCACTGCCTTAAAACACTCTTGAAAACTATCAAGTTTCAACAAGTCACACACATTGGCAGCTTCCAAAAGTGTCATTCAAGCACTGCTTCAAGCCGTCTTCGTCCTAATGCCCATCTTGTGCTTGTAGTCTTCTAAATCACTTGCAGTTTGCTTGACAGTGCGCTGCGAAACGTTGAACACAATTCCCAACATTCTCACATTTGCGGTACTACTCCCTTATGTTAAGATGTGGATACACGCAACTCGCTTTTCTATGTTGATGAGAGCAACGAGAAGAACAAGGCCATGACAAAACATACACGTGTGCTTCGAACGAGACGCATTGTGATCATTCCGGCTCTCTTGTTCTGATCTTGCGTATGCAACTGCCAATTTATCTTCGGAAATCACAGTCCTTCATGGCGGTCTCATTGTCTCTGTTTTGTTCCAATACATCAAGGCATACCCATTCACACATTCCAAGGCTTGCTTGCATGGCTGGCTGATGTGCTTGATGAACTGGTGCACGTTGCCAAGAAAAAAAAAACTACCAGGGCCCACAGAAAGCAGCATCAGAGTGGCACACTGTACTCGAGAAAGTCCTCAAATCACTTTCCTACTGCTCAAACAACTCTGAGCATAGCAACAGCCTCGTGTTTCGAAGCCAACAACTATTTCACATTTCAGGGTGCGTTGCGGGCTTGTATGTCGGCAACAAAAATGTGTCATCCGCTTCGTCCACAGGATCGTTGGCAAGTTGCCGCTACTTAGAACATCACTTGCTGTCTGAAATGTGTCTGCAGCTTGTTGGCCTTGACCCCGAGCTTCATGTGCTTCTTGGCACGCACACTCTGAATGAAGCGGATGTCACGTGCTTTTCGTTGAGCGACGTCGCGCGACGTGGCTCCCGTCCAGCCGAGAGCTCGGTAGTGACTCAGGACGCGACTGGCAGAGTCACCAGACCGGGACGCCGCAACAGCAGGCAGGTTCTGGCGGTAGTACCTGGAAAAACCCAAGGGTGACAATAAACGAAGAGCAAGAGCTAATTATCAAGTTGGAGGCACGGTCAGCTGCAATGACAGACTAATGACAAGAGAACGCGGCGATGGTGCTTACCAAAGTGGCAGAAATTTGACAGCGTGCCAACAGATGTGACATTTAATGGCTTGGAGTTAAGTGCGAATGTCAATTTTCTATGCCTTAGGACATATTTCATAATGCTGCGATGAGATTTTCTATAATTATGTTTAAAGGGAGATGCGATTCGGAAAAAAAAAATAAAGTTGCATTAATCTGGAATCTAGGGCAACGAAATGTTCGCTGTACATATAAGCTTTTATGCTCATTTCAAGTATGTAATTATTTTAAAGTAAGTTGCACAGTTTTTGTTTTGTGCCATGCCAATGTGTTAAGTACAATTCAGTTTGGAGAAACTTTGATGCCATTAAACCTTTATGGTTCTGGGTTATTAATGGCTCATATTGCTCCACATTACCTGTAGAATGCAAATAACTATCAAGAAAGCGTGTAAAAAACATTTTGATGGTCAAGTGAAACTATAACTTGAGAATTCAAACTGAAAGTCAATTATTAGAATCCTCAGCCCATTCTTATTGCTTACTTTAGGTTTGTAATAATTATATCGGCGATATCAAGTTTTAAAGGAGATTTTTGCACCCATCACATGTTAAGGTATATGTGGGCAAAATTTCATCCTTATCAGGCTGTCATAAGTAATAAGTTGCCCAGAAATAGACATTGAGAGAAATACATTTTTAAAAAGTGAAAGCTCATCTATGTGAAAAATATAAAGATGATTTCTGCCATCATGAGAGCTTAGCAATTGTAGTTATTTCGAACATGTGGCTTTAGTTGACCTTTCAAGCGAAATACAATGGCAGGCAGCCAGGTGACAATTTACACGCTACTCTAGACAATGAGTGCTTCTTAGTTTTTTTTTTGTAGCCACATTGTGTTGTTTAAATATAACTTTAACCTACTTTGATTAATTACAATTTTCAGTTTCTTTGTTGTGATTGTAGAGAAACTGAACTTGTGAAAGTAAGTGAAAACGAAAAATATGTAATTTTGTAAAAAACTCGCGCTTTCCAACTCGCATCTACCCTTAAAGACATTCAACTCTATGCACGAGTAGAAGATTTCACGCCAAATTTACAAATATTCAAAACTGCCTTTGAACATACAAGGTGGGTGCATCTCGCACATGCCTGCCAACCTGGTAGCCTCTGAATTCAGGAGATTCATACGGCGTAGAAGCAGAGAATACGCAAATTCATTAAACTTACGACTGTAGTTACAGTAGACTAATTCATTTAAACTCGAAGAAACTCCTGGATTCTGTTTGCATTATTGGAAGTTCTCATATATGCGACTCTGGGTAAGGCGACAGCACAAATTATGATTAAACATTCATATTCACACTTTTAGGCATTTCTAGATCCTAAGTACACAGAAACAAAAAGTGATACATGTAAGGTCAACAAGTTTATTGACTAGTATCTAGTGCTGACCAGTAGACCTTTCAAAAAAATCACGGATGGTCAGCTCCTTATTAGTCACATGCGCATTTAGCACAAAGCTCTCTATATGTCAGTCATTGCAGTCAGTTGATTCTGGGAGTTTTCTGTTGCTGTCAAAAATTTTCTTATTTTAGCGACATAGCAGAAGGCCTGTGCAGTTGTCATATTCTTCACTTTTGGTTCTGGTTCCTCTTCACTTTCACTGCCACGTTGTGCTGGCAGCACCTCTGCCACCGACTTATCCAGTGTGTGATCCCTGCACACTCACAGGTCAACATTTGTACCTGCGTAACTGTCGAGGTCGGCAGCCATGTTGTGCGCTTTTAGAGAAGACGACACTTGGCTTTCGTTGTCGTGGTCCTCTGTCTGCAGCCAGTTGGGTGGAGCAGCAATGCAGCTAGGTACGCCGAAGGCATGCTGAAAGCAGTTCCTTATTGTTGTTGGTGTAACAGCATTCCATGCATCGGCAAGCATCCCCAAAAACGAGAGGAGTGGGACCCTGTAGGGCATGGATTTGTCCATACATATAAGCATTTTCTTCGGCAGTGTTTTTCTGGTAATCAATCTTCAAGCATTTGATTGCCCTTTGATCGAGGAGCTGGAGGGCAGTTATAGTGTTGGGACGGAGAAATTTGAGGTGAATTGCTTCCAGGCCCTCCTCATCCCCATGAGCAGGGAAGTATCAATAATGAGCAAAATCTGCCTCTCTGCTCGCTCGATTTGGTCATCCAGTTTGCGGAGCCAACTATCGAGCAAAGCTTGCGTCATCCAAGATCGCGTGTTTCCGTCGTATGCAACTGGGAGTGTACGGACGCCTCTAAACCACCTGGGACGCTTCGACTTGCCCACAACAAACAGTTCTGGCTTGCGACTTCAGTCTATATTGGCAAAAACCATGACAGTTAACTGTTCTTTGCTTAGCTTTCTGCCAGTGCAACGCTCGCCCTTGCGATACAAGGTCTGATCAGGCAGGCACTTAAAAAACAACCCCATTTTGTCTGCATTGTATATATCAGCCGGGGAGTATTCAAGCAGTAGGCTTTGAAGTCTACTCTGCCCCCAGTCAGAAGAAACAAGCTCTGCCGCTTCACCACTCACTGTTGTGAAGGTGAGATCATGGCGTTCCTTGAACCGAGAAATCCAGCCATCACTGCACTTGAAACAGTCAATTCCAAAGCGCAAGGAAAGTTGTTTGGCTTTCTCTCGTAAAATTGGCACATTTATCGGCAAATTGGTGCTTCGTGCGCGCTCGAGCCAAAGGAGCAATGCATTTTTAAGATTCGGGTACACAGCATCCCTAAACCTTTTCCGATCGGAGCGAAGCAGCTCGCGTTACTGTGCAGCTTGTTTTTGGGTTTCAAGATGGTAGGGAGAGTGCTCTTGGCGAATCCATACTTCAGTGCTGCTTCACTGTTCTTCACTCCAGTGTCGACTTCTCAAATAGCGGCCAACTTTTCGATTAGGGGGTGTGTCTAGTTTCCTCGCGGCAACATAGTCATTCGAAAGACTGCGAAGCACACAAAAAACAGGACTGCTATGGAGTCGAGTCGGCCAGCAGCTTGGTTGACTTGGTGTTGGCTTGGCATGCCAGAAAAGAAGAGATAAGCCACAAGCCAGCTTTGTACCCACTGGACCGGGATTTTCCATAGCTTTTATTTTTTTTCCCAAAGTGGCGCGATATGCTGAGAAACGATTGTGCGGCAAAACCTTTTTCCTTGAAGCTTTGAGGCGCTTACTTTTTAACTTAAGATTATTATGATAATCATAAGCACGCCCCTCCGCGGTGGTCTAGTGAAGGTACTCGGCTGCTGACCCGCAGGTCGCGGGTTCAAATCCCGGCTGCGGCGGCTGCATTTCCGATGGAGGCGGAAATGTCGTAGGCCCGTGTGCTCAGATTTGGGTGCACGTTAAAGAACCCCAGGTGGTCAAAATTTCCGGAGCCCTCCACTACGGCGTCTCTCATCATATGGTGGTTTTGGGACGTTAAACCCCACAAATCAATCAATAATCATAAGCACGCGAATGTCGTAATATTGGTGGCAAATCAGCAGAAGTTTTCCGATATGAACAGGCAGAAAGTACAAGTTAAGTGAATGATGAAGTTTGAATTAAGCGGCTTTTAAATACATAGGAAGCATAGCAGGCCAACCAAAATTTTTAATGTAGTATGAATTAACCGAAAGTATGAATTATCGCCAGTCTAATGTATATACTTTTTCAGGACCACATTGACGTCATAAGCTAATGACTGCTACAGTCGAGCCCCGCTACAGTCGGACCCGTTTATAACGTACTCGAAAGTGCTGCAATAAATGGTCCTTTAAACAGTAGTTCATTGTATATAGAGTCGCCCATAAAAACGGCCACATAGTGACCAAAACATTTTTTGTGTGTGTGTGTATTTTATTAAAAAGTGCAAACAACCCCTCCGCTGACAAGTTAAACCTTTTCGCGTGTTAAACGACGCCCGTTCGCAATGACCTCGCGCTGTTCCACTGAATCGCGATCCACTGACATCGAACCAGTCATCCTTGGCTAGTTGCGTGCAGTATGTCGCTTACCTCAGCTACTCTGGCCGTCACATACCAGTTCACTTGCCGTCCAACGTATGCGCGTGGTTGTGCGTTCTTCGCGCATGTTTCACATGGGAACCTGCTAGGGTGCGGCGGGTAGCCTGTTTGGTGGGTAGCGCGTTCGGGTAGCCTATTCGGTGAGCAACGTGCAAGCGGCCTCGCACAACGCGGCAGCGGCGAACTTGCGAACAGCACCTTGATATGCTTGTACCACCATCACTCCGCCGAGCAGTTATCACCAGATGACTGTGACAAGCTCACCGGCAGCGAGTCACAATGACACGTTCATCACCACCGGCCACTTCGTTATCGCTTTTTTTTATGCTCACTCGTTAAGGCATTGCCGTGACCGCGGGGAAGTCATTATCACTAATCGACTGGTCTCTGCCGTTTCCGAAAGGTGGAAAACCCTTAAGGGGTGACGCAGGCCTTAGAATGGTGAAAAATGACCAGAAAGTCAAATTTTTGATATTTTATTCCTATACACATGCATTCTGAAATTGTGAATGCTAAATTCGGTCAATGAATGGGTTAAAACTTGTTATAATGTCGCTACGGGAGTTACAAAACGCCCTACTAAAAATAAAATTTGTTCAAACTTCGCGCACGTGCCACAGGCGAAGCAGCCGACCGATCGCCGCCATTTTGAGCTCGTTTTGAAGCTGATTTCTTTGTGCGTATTTTGCCACCCTTGAAAATAGTAGGTTCGTTCGTTTCGCCTGCACTTCCTGAACCGGTTTGTGGAGGCACTGCACTTTGGCATTCGTTTTACGAGTTCAACATGGCGGCAGCGGCACCGCAGTATTCGTTTTGAAAAGTGCAGCTGTTGTGCAAGGCTAGTTCACAAATTCCCTGCACCTGCTCACGAGGTAGTGCGGAGTCCGTGCAG